TATTTACTATATAGTGCATTACATTTACATTTATTAAGTGTCCAAATTCTGAATGTGTAAATGTATCCATGTAGTGCCCTTACAAATTCCACAATGGGAATATTGATGAGAGTAAAATGTTTTATGGCAAATCTAGACCTAATTTTGAGTGACACTTGGTTATTGCTCCCACAAGTGATTCATTAATTTACAGTAATTATGCAAATGAACCAAATAATTGAACAGTGTAGTGATGTTTACAATCCACGATAATGACATAATATTTATAACAAAACCACATGGAAAGAACCCAAAAGCCACAACTGGAATGAAGGACCTAAACTGGTTGATGAGAGTAGATTACTGAGGTGTAAACATTTTGTCGTGCTATTATTTGAGAATTCTGGACAGAGTCTTATAAATTAGAAGAAACAAAAAACTCAATGTTTTCTAATATCTTTAAATCTGTCATATTAAAATTAAATTAAAGAAAGCATATGCAAATAATGGGATTTACTTTATTATCTGGACTACAACATTGATAACGAGGCTGTCATTTTGGGTTGTGTACCATCGATGAGTTTCAAAAGCTTCGTAAAGCTTTTGAGTGACTTTGTGTGTTTGTGTGCATACGTGCACCTCCCTTGTAGTGGGACACACAGATGAAGCAATCTAATCACATTTTCATCTGATACCGTAATTCCCAAGCAGCTCTTTCAATGAGCTTCATCCTCGTCTGGCTTGACGAGATTATCGCTGCGCCAACAGGCGGCTGTTTTCAGTAAACATGTAGTTGCCAGTTTCTGATACACATACAAAAACACCCCAACATCTGGGTGACCCATTTTAAGGAATTATTATGACTAATCCCTTTTAAATTCCCCCAAATCATGTGTACCTTTGACTTTCAAATGTTACCCAGATGTCATAATTATTAAACTTAATGAATTGGGATTCTGCAGGCATTTTGTGTTGGTGCTGATGCTTTGTTATGACTGTGTGAAAAAATGTGAGTGACTGCTTGTTTGTTGATGAACATTATTACCAAATCATATGAAAACACCAGACGTTCCGTGTAGGACACAACTATGAAAAGTAACTGTTTAAACATTTGTGCAGATGCTAGGGAAATTAACACCTTTCAGTCAGAAGCGTCCATTGGGTTATACAGCGTTATATAGACACAGCATCGGGGACCTTAAACATAGTCTGTTACTTTCCTACACAAACAATAAGGCTATGGCTGGCTGGTCAAGTTCAGCTGAAATGGATGTTATAGGTAGCTTGGTCCCAGGCCTCTGAATGCCTGCCCAGATCTTCGATTTGTTCAGCGATTCAAATCTGAATGAAAGAAGTGAAACCAAATGGTAATTCAGTCTGATTATGAGGCTATGTTATAGAGATTTACTGAACCATTTCTGCCCTCTCTGTCTTCAGTTCTGCCTCTTTATCTTTCTGTCTCTAGCTCAGCGACAGAAAATGAGCAATTCATGGAGATGAATAAGGGGTATTGGAATCCTAGGCCAGACAGCTCGAGCAAATAAATCTAAAGCTGTAAAGTTAATGAAAATGGGCAAACTGAAAACTTACAAAGCAGCAAAATGGATCTCTCTGTCTGTCTGCCCTATTACTATGATGACCCTGATCTGGAGGCCTTAGGTTGGTATTAAAAATTGTTTTCCAAATATGCACAAATATCACTAAATGGACACAGTGAATTTCCTCTATGTGCTGATACTAGAGGAACTTTTGCCAGCCATAATAGTGTCTGGTTTGATTGACAGGTCATTGTTTTGGGGCTCTGTGGTGCTGTGTTATTGCAGCAGGGTTCGTGGTATTAAGTTTCATACAAGGGGTGGTCAGGGAGCAGCCAGTTCAAGCAATCACCGAGATGGCCACCCACATGGCTTTAGGTTTTAACAGACAGTATGGTGGCTAAATATTATGCGTGCATGGTGGCCAGGATAACAGTCTCCGTCAGACAGCCATAATTAATCCATAGGTGCACACACGTATGCGCATAATAGAAAAAAACAAATGCACAATGGCTCACAATTTAAAAGCACCAACCTCAACACATATGCAGGTGCATAAAACTAGGATTTAAAATCAAGCCCTCATTTGTCATTTTTAACTGTCTTCTTCAAGTTCTGCAGAAAGGTTTACAATTACAACAAAATCTCAACACCCAAACCGATTATTTAGCATTCTTATCTGTTAGGCAGCAGCGTGATGGCATTTCATCCCGTGGCTTCAATCACTTAGCCATGGACCCCGTGTCAATATGAGCTATCATCAGCCATGTTATCAACCTCCATCTTTCTTCCTGGGTGGTTGGGTGATCTTGGTATTACAAGACCACCTCAGTGTCTCTCTTTCACTCTTTCACACACCTGTCATTACCCACTCATATCATATGGTAGATCTTGGTGATTGATTATAATGGCCTTAATGCTTTTAGATTAGTCTTAATGCATGGCACAGTGTTATCAATGCTTTTAGAATTGATACCATATCTACTTCCACTTCCTCTCACAATTATTCTCTCTGCACCAATGGAATAATGCCTGTAAACCCTTGCTCTGTGTATGTATTGTGCTCCACAGGAGATTGTGCTGGTGCTGTTCTTTGGCTCGGAGTATGTGGTCCGGCTGTGGTCGGCAGGCTGTCGCAGCAAATATGCAGGCATCAAAGGACGCCTCCGCTTTATCAGGAAGCCCATATCAATCATAGGTGCACCTGGCATTTTCCTTTTCTCCCATTTAATAAAACAGATGTCATGAATTGTTCTTGTAGATCAACAACTTAGATTATTCAAGCAATGGAAGGCTTCACTTTAGTACAAGGTTTCATTGAAACTGAAGTGATTGCAACCCTGATTTTATTTTTTTTCTTAATCTCTTTCTCAGATTTGATCGTGGTCATTGCTTCAATCATAGTGCTTGGTGTAGGGTCCAATGGCCAAGTGTTCGCCACGTCTGCCATCAGGTAAAGCGACTATTTTGTTCTTCATTTAATTATTTACTAATAGCTTGAGAGGGATCAGAAGATAATGAGACGGATGAGGCGGTGTTGTGTGTTGCAGGGGCATCCGTTTCCTCCAAATCCTGCGCATGCTCCATGTGGATCGACAGGGAGGAACATGGAGGCTCCTCGGATCTGTAGTCTATATTCATCGACAGGTAGGTTGAAAGTATTCAAGCTAATGCTGTTAATTTAGTGTTGTTATGTATCACAAGGTCTTTTTAAGAACCCAGAAACTTCAAATCAAATATCAAATATCAGCTCTTAGATGTCTGTCTGCTGATCTGGCTACATATATATATATATTTGCTTGTTTTTTAACATTATTTTTTAATCGCATATCAGATAAGAAAAGTAAAAAAAGACATTTACCCTCTTGTTGTGTCACTTAGCTGCAGTTTCTTCTACAGTGAGTGCACAGACCCCTTCCTAGTCCTGCTGCAATTAACTTCTTATTAGAACAAATCCAACATGCACAGTCAGAAATACATGCACACTTGCACAAATAAGCAACAGCAGATCTGGCTTTATAAGGAGAAGAAGAGAAATCGCCAAGATTGCCTCCACTTCTTTTTCACTGTGTCCTGGTACACTTGTTTCAGTATTTTCTCAGGCTGATACACAATGAAGTCCGAGGATGTAATGTTCTTTTCTTAATCCCCAAAGAAGACTGTGTTCTTTGGTTGTGGTCAAACCTGACATTCATGTCTCTTTGATGCATAAGAAGAACAGGTCTGATCAGTGAGGAATGCGTGCAAAGGTCAAAAAAATAAATGTAAAATGAATCCAAGGTGAGCCTAATTTGATTTGTTGCCATCTCCCTGTTGTCAGATGACCACTTTATCAAATGATGTGCTCTGTTTAGTGGAAGTATATTGCCTTTAGCAGTGTCAATAAGTTGGTGGAAAGGAATAGACTAAGCACATTAGAATGTGTGCTCACAATAGCATTCGGTTTCAATGCGCATTCAGAGTTGATTCTTCATTTAGGAACATTTACATTTGCTAGTAAATTAAGCGACTGAAAATACAGGAGCACAGGAAACATTTGATCTAAATCACTGAAATAAGCCAATTTATCAGCCTATTCAACATTATGGGACTAATCATTCATACAACATTTTCATAGTATTGTTTTTTGGTTGACTTTGTGTGTTTTTCAGGAGCTGATCACCACCCTGTACATCGGCTTCCTGGGCCTGATCTTTTCCTCCTACTTTGTCTACTTGGCGGAGAAGGATGCTGTTGACGAGGAGGGCAAGACGGGCTTCTCCAACTATGCCGATGCCCTGTGGTGGGGTGTGGTAAGGCAGCTAAACTAGAAAATGGAAACACATTGTAAAGAAGATGCAAGTGCTTCACTAATGTTTTTGCACTTGTGTGTGTTTTCTAAATTTTGTTTCATGCAATGCATATATTACTCTGATCCTTGAATGCTACTCAAATTTCCCAACATAGCTTACATACTTGAAAGGCCACATCACATGTACATGAAAAAAGATTCTTCTCTCTAAAGAGCTGTAACAAGTAATCTGCACAATGCACTCGCAAATGGAGTCTTAACCAGAAAAATGGAGATGGCCGGCCACCCTGGTTAGACCAATTATTAACCTCCTTGGCTTTTTATTCTCCTCATTGGTTCTTGGTGTAGAATGCATGTGTTGCTGCAACACTTAAAGCAGAGGCAGGTGTGTTGATGTTTTCTGAGCGCGGAGCTGGTTTTGCTTATTTCCCCCTGTACGGAGGCTCAGGTTTCCAGAGTAGTTAATTAAACATTTGAATTGAAAGCGCAGAGTAATGAGAAACCTATGGCAGCCTTGTGCAGGGGATCAGTGTGTCACAAAGAGACGGTAATAAACCATTCACCTCTGGGCTCTTTGGCTCAAAGAACTTTTAGAGCACCAATATAAAGTGTCAGTTCCCTTAATTAAAACTTTAATTGTGGGATTACTACCTTTATGTAACAAGGGTTAGAGGGGTCACAGTGCTCCTCACTGCTCTATGGAAAGTAGAAGAAAAGCTGTTATTTGTGTTGCTCTGATCACAATGTTGAGAAAAAAATCACGGTTGGGGATTTGCACCTTTTTGTTTCTCTGAGACTGTAAAGTTGAGAGTAATGATATGCTATTACAATCGGTTTGGTCAGATTTGTGAGTGTTTGTGTGTGTGCGCTCATTGAAATGAGATTGCGCTGATTGGAGAACGCTAAGCTCTCTCAGTGTTTATGCCTTCTCTTGGCTCGATTTCCACATTCGGATGTGCAGGTGCGGGGCACAGCTGGAGAACAAGCCAATGCCATGATTCATATCCACTTTTCTCTCTCCTCTCTCTCTCCCTCCAGTACCTTTCCTGCTTTTCTTCTTCTTTTGCCAATTGCTTATGATTAGGTAATGGCTGTTTGATTTTAACAACCTTCTAACTTCAACCAGGACACACTGTGAAAGAGAAAATGAGGGAAATGAAAGCTAACAGTGCTAAAAAGTTCCCATTTTGTAGTTATGGTGCTTATGTACAATTTGGGTTTAATCACACACATATAGTACATATCCTGCATGTATGACTACAGACATTCACATGAACACACACTTACACATATTCAAAGACCAGGTTTGTGACCTTTGTGTAGACATGAGGAGGTTTTTGCCACACACCCTACAATCTGAATGAGAGGAGTGTTTTTGAGGAGACCATTCCACTCTGATGGTCAGGAGGACATTGTTTAGTCATCGGATTTGTGGATGAGGGATTAAATCCCCCCCACTCCCCTGCCCCCAACATACACCCACCCACCATTCCCGCCCCTGCTCCTTCTTTTTTACTCCCAAAGCCCTTTTAAGTATCTCACCTTACATCAGCCTCTTTGTGTTTGCGCTCAGCGGTGGCTCACGCGGCGATACCCCATAGACACCCACGGTATGCCAAGTGTGTTCTGAATGTGTCAGAATTGGCTCGGCTTTCAGAGTGGGTGTACATGCAAATGCAAGAGGTATTTGTTTTCCCCCCTCACCCCGGCAAATTCCTACACTCACTGAGGATTAGTGGTTGGGAATCTTATTCCCTTAGAGGAGCAAGAGCCTCAAATGCACCGGCCATCACTGACAGTTGTGGAGGGAGGCCAGAACGACTGATGATTTTTTCCTTTATTGTCTAAGTCCTGTTATAGACTGCTGTGGTAAAGCTTTGAGAGTGTTGACTGACATTTTCATTACATCAGTGGTAAAAAGTAAGAAAGAAATGAGAGGAGATTTTGATATCTCTATGATGTAGTAATGATGTGATAAAGTAATGATTTAGCTTATTCAATGTAAAACTGTAATGTTTAACACAATTATATACATTTATATTACATTTGCATCAGTGAGGGGTAAAGGAAAGGATAGCCATTGCATTAAAAGGGTTCCTCCTTACTTGGCAGTTTTTGTTTTAACACTGACTCTCTTAAGCACTGTTTGCAATCAGACATTTGTTTTGAGAGGCATAAAGTACAGCTACTCTCTAGTTTCTTGTCTCAACCTGCAGTGTGTATAGCTTTAATTTGGCTGCAATCACATTAGCCCTAAATGTTCTGACCTTTTTTGCATCAGTGAAGGGAGCTGTGCAGGATTTTTCCTTTAGGTCACACGAACAGTATGTCTACAGTCTGCTCATGATAATCTTAATAGATGTAAGAGAAACTTTATCCACTCTCTGTCTTTAGGTGACTGTCACCACAATTGGGTATGGAGACAAAATTCCTCAAACGTGGATAGGCAAGGCCATCGCCTCCTGCTTCAGTGTCTTCGCCATCTCCTTCTTCGCTCTACCTGCTGTAAATATAACTTTAATCTGAATCATATGAAATTCATGAGCAGTAAGATTTATTAAACTTGTTTTGTTTCATTTAGTCCCAAGCTTATTACTGTGCTGCTGTAATGATAGCAAATTGGAATGTATTTTTTAGGGATTATGCAATTACATTCCCAACCTCTACACTAAATGTTACAACTTTAATATGATGTATTTTCTGGCTGTGTAAATAGATATGGTTCAATCTAATTCTCTCCAATTAGGGTATCCTGGGCTCAGGGTTTGCCCTGAAAGTCCAACAGAAACAGAGACAGAAGCATTTTAACAGACAGATCCCAGCTGCAGCCTGCCTCATCCAGGTAAAGTTTAGCATTGAATGGAAAAACCAGGTCAGACACAGTCCATCACCTCTATAGCTCAGTTTGTGTTGGACCATGGACATGGACAACGACAAAACCTGGTCCGTATTATTTTGGAAGGTGCAAACTTGCAAATTCTTACTGAGCCTTGGAAAAGGTGAGCTGTGTCCCATTGTGCCAAAAGCTAACCATTACAAGGATTACAATTACCCTGAGACATAACCACAGTTTAGACACCTGTGACAGAGACACTTAAACGTCTGCTGGACACTGACTGATATCCACTATCTGTCCATGTATAAGGACATTATGGAAAAAGAATAAAATTATTTATTTGTCATGTGCAATTTATATACAGGAATTTGTCCGACACAAAGAGGTTCAGTGTGTAACATTTAGGAGGATCTATAGGCAGAAATTGAATATAATATTCATCGGTATCATTACTAATTTTTATTATTTTCATTAGTGTGTAATCACCTGCAAATAAGAATCATTGTGTACCTTAGAATGAGTACTTGTTAAAGCAATTTACACAACCCTGAATTTTTGGCTAATATTTTTTATTAGGGGAGTAATCGGAAACATTCTTACAAGTTATGTGGATCAACACATTGACTAACACCATTTCTATGCTTCAACCTGTCCTCCTCAGACACTCTGGAGGTGCTATGCAGCAGAAAAACCAAATGGCTGTGCTGCTACATGGAAAATGTATGTTCTCACTCCAGAGGCTGTCAGCACAGTGGAATCTGACAACTTCAGCCCTAACATCAGGAAACTGAACATATCGGTAATTATCCAGTTCACCTTAAATTCAGAGCCAATGCTATTGTGTGGTCCATGTTTTGTACAGTTTTCAGTTGTGAAAGTGTTTAAGTCCTCTCAACTTTGTGACATCGTGCCTTTGAATTCAACCAGGGACATTTCATCAAATATTTTTTATCTTCCACTGTTTATTGTGTCCTTTTACTTTGATCTATCCCATAAAGGTGAAACGCCACCCGAGAAAAATAATAGTCCCCAGCCTTTAAACCAAGGTCATATGAGCTGTTTTCTCATTTTTTGGTCGTAGATATCTAATTTGCAATACACACATTACACGTATTTCTCATATATATATATTTTCTCTTTCAGTAGACATCTGACAGAATGCTTTGAACTTGAGGTGTGGAACATCAAGAAGTCCACAAAAGAGCGTTGTCAGAAAAAAGCTGTCCGACTGGCAAACAAGTCTGGCCCACACTGTATTGTCTCCTTGTGCAGTTCACCTTTCACAACAATATTAGCTATGTTGCGCCTAGGCCATACAGCATAATAGGGCAAGTTAAGTTCCCACAAACATACACACACGTGAAAGGACACACAACACACACAAAACACACAAATACGTGCAATACAGCAGTCCCCCCGCCCCCAAGGCCTGACTCCACTAGGATGACTCGAGGCCTTTGTCTCCGACGGACAAAGACTCAGTCAGTTGAGATGATGTCACTGCCGCCTTTCTCATGGGAGTAAACCTTTGTCTAATAGAACAACAACAAGAAAATCTTTGTGTAGCATTGAACCCACATGTATTGGGGAGAATGAAGGCTGCTTCCGCTCTTTTCTGTTTCAGCATGTGACTTTCTCCTCTGACTTACCTCTCTCTCTCTCTTTACCCTTTCTTTCCCCTGTCTTTTCAAAATTCCTCTTATGTTTCTTCTCTGTTTAACAGAAATTGCTTGACTCATTATTTTTCTACTACTTGCATATTTTCCTCTGCTCCTCTCTGCCTGGTCTTCTTCATTCTCCTTCACACAGGTTTTCTCTCTCTCCTCTTTTTATCAAGCTCTATCAGTATCTTTATCATTGTCCCTCTCTAACTCAGTGTCTGTTACAGTTTCTTCCTGCCCTTCCATTTTCTCTCTATTTCTCTATTTTCCTCTTTCAGTCTTATGACACCCACCACCACCTCCCTCTCTCACTCTCTCTGCTAATGAGTCATTCAAACCTCGGGTATTCGGATTGAACTGCTGGCCAATTGTCAATGCCAAAGTCTGATCCATTGAGTCCAAATAATTGAGTTTCTATAAAGGCCACGTCCATGACGTTGATGTGGGTCAGTGGGTCTAAGGATTGGCCTGGAGGCACCATTTAGGTCCTCAGAAACTCACTGACTCACAGAACATATAGTTATGACCTCACTCAAAGAAACTAAGATTAAACATGTACCACTGAGGTCACCAGTGTGCAAGCACAACATTTGGTAAGATGCTGATGTATAACTACAATGTGAACAACACAGGTACTAAAAGAAAATAATGTGTTTTGGTATTTCAGTGTTTTTGACATAGCATGGCTTCTTGACACTTGGCTGTATAAGTTCACTTATAGAGAATATGTTTCATGGATAATTTTAATCACTTAAAATTTATTCAAGTGTACTGTGTTGCTAAGAGGCTTGCTCTTTGAACAAATGAATGTTTAGTTATAGTGTTACAATCCTTAAGGTCCAGTGTGTAACATTTAGGAGCATCAATTGGCAGAAATGGAATATAATATTCAGGTATGTTTCCCTTAGTGTTTAATTACTTGGAAATAAGAACTGTTTTGTTACCTTTGAATGATGATGCAGGACGTGGACGCTGCCATGTTGAAGCGCCATGTTTCTACAGTAGCCCATAATATCTGACAAACCGAACATGATGTAGATAAGGCTGTTAGCGTTTTTTGTGTGTTTTGCGGCCACTGTATTTTCTCCTTAGTGTTTGGAAAGGGAGGGTGAAGCCTAGATTAGTAAAATTGTGCTGGATCCAGAACTGTGACAGAAGCTTGCAGGTGAACAAATGGTGGATGGAGTCTTCAGGCCAGTCTCATTAAGTAATATAGGGTCACCACCATGTCACCACACCACCATGTCACCACACCACCTGTCCTTCAGCTTGGGAGTAAGTTGCTGCCCCAAGTGAGGAAGTTTATGTACCTCTGGGCCTTGATCATGGATTGTGAGGCTCAAAGGCTGACCAATGAAGTGATGAGGGTGATGGTAAGCTATAAGGCAGCTTAACTCATTTTCAGAGGGAAAGCATGAAGAAAAGGCATCAAATCTCCCCTTTTGACAGTGACATTATCGCATATATATCAGGACAATTTGTCAGTCTTTGTTTTCTTAAATGTATTCCGTTACTATATGCGTTACTATTTACACAATTGGCTCTTTAAAGACTTGTGATTACAGTTCATCATCACGATAGTCAAACACTGTTTGTTTCCTCTGTCTGTCAGAAAAGGGGCACCAAGAGGAGGTTGAAGTCCAGAGGAAATGGCTCTTTGGGCGCGGCCTCAGAGAGAGCTGTGTCGATCCCCCAGATCACCTACGACCACATTGATGACTCTGAGGAGAAGAAAGATGTCTCATTTTTCCATGAAGAGCCAAGGAGGGGTCTTGAAGGTAATATCGTGGAACTAGCACTGATCTTTTGTTACTGTAATGTGTAGTGTCCAAACTGATGTCAAATACATTTCAAGGTTTATTACCACTTGCTAATTTTTAAGTCTGTGGTTCACTAAATCTAGTGCATGTTTTTTCAAAGAAATTCAGTTAGACTCTATAAATTGCCTTTCTTCCAACAACTCAGTCACGGACAAGTCAACAAGCCAAGATTACACATGAAAGCACTGAGCCCTGTTTTATTAGTGTTTGATTAAACTGACTTCATTTTGGAGCTCTTAATGTTTTGTTCATTCAAAGCTTGACACCTCAGAATGCCATGTTCTTTAAAGAAGGTGTTTTTTGAATTGCATTGAATATCGTTGTGAAGTTATCTTTGCCGCTTTAATGCAGTTAAAGGCCAGCTGGCAATGAAACCTGCGTCATATGGAGGACATTTGACGAAGTGAATTACTGCAGTAATGAAACAAACTTTTTTCTGTTCCTCTTAATACAGTTTTGTTTGATGAAATAATGTGTGTTGCGGGCTGTGAAATGATGTCATGCTGCCTTAAAGGCCTTGGAAATCCATTATTTCAGTAAAGGTTTGATGTGTTTTTGCATTTAGGGCATTTAAATGACCAAATAAACTCCGTAATGAGTAAAACATTTTATGGCTTTTCCTTTGGAAATATTAGCTGTCAGCATGTACTTTTGTGTTTGTCATCCTTATATTGATTTTCTGTGAAAATAAATACTGTAGATAAACATAATACAAACCCCTTAATAATTCTGTTGCCAGCTTAACAAATCTAATAATAGACTTATTTTTTTTTCTTCCACATTTAGGCCAGTAGAGTCACCATAAAAGCTACAAACTACATAGATCAAATTGCAATAAATGGCCAAAGATGGTGGCCTCTTCAAAGGCAGTACGTTCAATCTCTCTGAAGCTATGTATTGGTAAAAGATGATACATGTGTGAGCAAATATGGCACTGACTGAAGATAGGTACACTGTATACGCCAAAGCTTGGTATACACTGGTGATAAATTAAGTTGTATTTAAGTATTGTATTTCTTAGCCATGGCTCACCGACAACTTTTGCCCAGATTGAAATATTTCAACTTGATACTACTACTACTACTACTAATACTACTACTTGATGGATTGCCATACAATTTGGTAATGACATGACCTGGTGATTACCTGACTTTACATTAAAACAATTACAAGATGGACTTTTTTGTCTCAACAGATAATGCATGGATTGATAAATTTGATGCACTTGATGAATTACTTCATAACTTTGGTGATCTATTTTCATTTAGCGCCATCATCAGGTCAAAATCTCAATTTGATTTACTACCAAATACCTGTAAAATCAGTGACAATCTCATCAGTCATTGTTGTTCCAACTAGAAGTACAAAGTAATTACATAATAGGCAACCTGAATGTGGTTTTTAAAGCTAATCTCTTGCAGTTTATCCCTCTCAGTTCATACAAACATTGGTGACCAATGCACATTATGGGAGGAGTTGTTATGTGCTGGTTTCTCATTTTCACACAGTAAACAGAGGCCCTTAGACCCAAGATGGCTGCCAGGTGTCTTCAGTAGGCCAGATGGAAGCCATTACTGTCTCAGCGGAGATTAGAGGTCATGGTTACAAGCTCTTTACTGCTTCACTTGTCCCCTTTGCTGGCCACAGACACTCACACTGGGCTTAAGTGGAAAAAACGTTAAAATACGGGCTTGTCAGGGTTACGAGTGGGAATTTCTTGTTATACCACTTGCAGTTTACCAATATCGCTGCAGTCATACCAAAGCCGAGTTGTGTTTTCTTTTTGTCATCAGGCTGAAAAAGTGCAGACACAATGATTGTGTTTATTACAGACCATTCAGTATCCAGATAATTATAAATTTGACCTATGGGGGTTCCTAATTGTTGTCAGCACTCATACATAACAATAGAAACTATGTTTTAAAAAACAAAATGCAGGTCTGTATGATAGTATATGATTAATGACTGGTTGGTTAAGGGGGAGGTGGTGTAACTTCCTGTGTTAAAAGACATCCCCAACAAATGAACTGACCCAGACTCCAGGTTAATAAATGCACTTTATGAGTTTTTCCTGTCAAAGCGTACAATCATAAAAGGAGCTGGAGTGACATAAACTTGACATAAAGGCAAGACGATCACTAGAAGAGCAACCACTTATGAGCGGAAAGGTTTTTTATTTTTCTGCTTAATTGGGTGGATCTTAGATAATGAAGGAGAACATATGTCCTAAGTGCATGTGGAAAAAGCAATCAAATGAAACTTAATGTTAAGCCGGTTTGATAGCACATTTTATCCAGTCTTCATTCTCATAGTTACATATGTACACTACAAGCAACAAAACAAGCTGTCAACATGCAGATTTTATGTTTTAATCATTTCAATGTTTTGCTTATATAATCAGTCAATAAACCTACATGAATAGATACTCATGCTGAGACAAGCTGTGGACGGCATAAAACCATGTAAATAAGCCTGCAGCCTGCTGATACTAATGATAATGTGTAGAGTTAAAACAGCGTGGGACTGTATGTTCTCTGCTTCAGATCCAGCCATAAAACAGGCATCTGCAATGTTAACTGTCTACTCATGAGCTTCTGCTATCTTATTTATTGTTTTAACATCACTGTTTCAACTTGGTACTGAGCTGCTGGATTCCTTAAAAGTGAAAATACAGAGAGATGCAAATGTTGTGGTTTTTTTTTTATGAAATACTTAATATCAAACTAGTTTAATATAGATTTTTTTCTGTAGGGGTTTATGAGTCAGCTAATAAATTGTATGAGAGTTAATTAAGAACACTTGCAGTAAAATAAAATATACACTGACAGTGTAATCTGTGCTTCATGCTTTTCTCATACTCTCTTGGATGCCTTTTACTGTTGTACATAGTGTTCCAGTGTTCTCTTTGCACCTGATATAACAGTTTGCTCACTTGGGGGCAAAGAAATAGTGGACACAACATTGACATATCATATTTTAAGTTGATATGGTGAACTTGTTAGCAAACAAACTTAGTCAACTTTCATTTGGAGTTGGTGCAGATAGTTTAGCGAAAATAGCTACAGTTCAGTAGCTGATAGAGAACTGAAATTGTTGTGTGCTCCAGCCATGTTGCAGTCCCATATTATATATAATTATTATAATATTTCCCCTTTTCTTTGCAGGAATCAACAGAATGTTCAAACCATCAGGTGAGTCCTTCTAACTCCCAGCGATTGGGTTATGATGGTTTGTTACAGAGATGATGTTAACATATATTTTGGTGTACTCTGGTTTCATTGTAGCTCCCACAAATTTCCATTCCATTATCATGTGTGTTAAGACATAGGTTGTGCCAAAATCCAAGTGACAAGAAAACAACAATGAAGAGTCTTTTGAATACCTGTTATTCTTTGTTAGGACTACAAACACAAAGGGTGAACCTATAGATGTGATCACTGCACTGTCTAACCAGTAGCCTCTTTCACTGGTTAAGTACTTCTTTTTCTCCTATTAAAAACTCCTCTGTGTTAATCATTAGCTAGCCAGCCTTTTTAATGTGGCCCAGACAGTATTTTAATTAGACTCGCTGGCTGGCTGGGCCTTTGTCCCCAACCGGACCAAACCAGAGCCAAGCAGAGAGACTCAGACACTGGTCCCGGGTTGACCTGGCCTGTTTTCTTTACTGGATGCCCTGCCAACACCACGGGTGAGGAACAGGACTGGCCTGGCTAGGAATGGACAGGGGCCTATGGGACCGTGGGGACCCAGACTGGGACACTAAAGAGAGGGAAAGAGGGAGGGGGTTGTGTGGAGTTGATAAGCGGCCATTGTGGAGCTCCAGTGGTCAGAAATAAACTGGTCATTGTTTGATGTAGTCAGTGTCCGGCTTATCGCTCCACTTATCTGTCTGGCCCCACCTACCTCCCTGTCTGTGAGAATCTCTCATTGGACCCCCCAGCCCCCCCCCCCCTTACCTCTATCCACTTTTTCTTTCTTCTCTCCACTTATTCTTTCTCTTCTGCCTGCTCCGTGCCTCTTGTGCTCATACTCTACCCAAGCGGCCGATAACATGTTGTCACTGCATGGGCCAGACGAGATAGACATGTTGCTTAGAGGCAACCCCTTATCTGTCTCCCGGGGTGTGTAGTCCGATAAAGCCAGTTCACGTCTCCTTCAGTGTGAGCTGAAGTTGAAGCTAAAGTGGCTCTTGTTAGCTCTGGGTCCCCCCCCGCCGAACGCCGTCACTTCTCCTCTCTCGCTCTCTCTCACATGGCTGGTCTGCTGCTTCCGGTTAACAGTGTTTAAACAAAACTCGATGATGGAGCAGAAGATGCGTTTGAATGGCTTTAGCTTGAATATTGATATGAGCACCTTACTAATCTTCGCTTGGCACGTTGCGTCCATTCTTTACATTCACAATTGGGAGGCCTGGCAGTTTTTGGGGAGGAGAGGACTTGTCAAAACTTCAGACTTTTGACCATTCTTGACTTGGCAGTTTCAAGACCCAGGGCTTTCCCCACCCCCATTTTTCTTGCTTGCTACCGTCCAGCCACCTTTGCTGGGACCTGCAACCTAGTGGATGGAGAACAAACAATAGTTGGTACCACATGTTGTTCTCACATACATTGAAGTTGTGTTAATTTTACGTATCATCATATCATAGAAATATTCTTGAAAAGTTGAAATAGTTTGTTTAGATAAAGTAACATATCATCCGAATTAAGATACCAATGATATGTAAAATGGTTGTTCCATAATTTTTGATAAAGTGAGAAGACACCCTGTTTATATACATAATGTTCCGAGAGAAATGGAAAACTAACCCTGTAAACGTATAAGGATAGATGAGTTGAGAGATGAGAGAATAATATTAGTATGTATTACGGCTTTTATTTTTTGAGTGTTCTTTATTACTTATAATGAATAAATTAATTAGCTGATTATACCAATCAGAGTTTA